TGAACAGACTCTGCTGAGAAGCACTGAGAAGCACCATTATTGGATCCAAAAAGAACATGATTCATACCAGATTGTAGACTTAATCCATATAAGTGGCCTGAATAGATGGCCATGTTGAAAGAAAATCTGTAGCAACAGGATAGAAAAAGCTGAGTAAAATTTAATAAACTCTTCAACAATTTAAAGGAGATTCAGGAGCGTCCAGGGGGACTATGAGCAAACAGAAATGGTTTAATCTGGTTTTTGAGAGGGAACTGAGATTGCACAAGTGAAAGAAAAGGGAATTAGAGACTGTGTGAAAGGAGAACTGAAAATACACTTGAAAGAAAACTGGTGGTGGTGTATGTGGGCAGAAAAGCACCTATGAAAAATTGGCTTGAAAGAGAACTCACCATTATTGGATCCAAAAAGAACAAATATTGTAGTTCCAAAGTTCAGGATCTATAACAAGTGGCTGGATTAAAAACGAGTGGAGATTGATAGATCATTTTAAAATAGTTGAAATGTATTGAACAAAAAATTGAATGCAATGTAATCTTTGAAATTAATAAAATACTAAATATAACTGGGTGGAATTCATAAATGCTGTGACCTCTTTTGATGAGAATTTTTCTGCCCTGCTCCCTTGCAGGAGTGGAATAGTGTGTGGAATAGCAGTTGGACTGCTCTAATTGGATTCCAGAGACTCATTTTCAGGTCTTGCTTAGTTATGAACTAATTGGCCAGAATCCTACTGGTGTTCACGTAAGATTGGTGTAGCTTGTTGTGACTATTTTCAAGAACATGATGAAGCACTGGCCTGTGTCTCAGTCAGGTGTCTCCAGTTGTGCAACTGATATGTTTTCTGGGACATGGTCAACTGCCTGCAATTAATGATGGTAAATTATGCAAGCCTCAATATGATTTTGGTTATAGGACAATCTTTGGCTGCTCACTCCTTATGGTCTGTCCAGACTGGCCACTTTGGATGTGGGATGGATCAAGCCGCAAAGGGTCTACTGAGGTTGGGAGAAGGAGCAATGTGCCATTTGGTAGGCTTCTCCCATCCAAACAGGAAATGGCCGCTTTTAGCCTGATCTTCTGTTTTCTTCCTTCCCCCCTCCCAGGTTCACTTTCCACTTTCTCCCCCAACTTTCCATCAGAATCTGCAGCCATAATGGCAGTTGAAAGCTGAGGCTAAACAAGCTAAACAATGGGCTAAACAAGAGGTGTGCCAAAAAGAATGCATGCTCTACGCTGGGGCAGAAAGCAGCGCAACTCTTAAAGAGCTCTTAAAGGGAAACTGGATCATTGTAATTATATACACTTGCAGATGAGATCTTTTTTTCCGACCCAAACCCATGACCCATGGATAGGCCCTTTGTCTGACCTACCTCACAGGGTTTGCTGTGAAAACAAAGTGGACAAAAAAGAGCTACAAATGGCAGCTTGAACTCAATGGAGGAAAGGTGAGGTAGAATGCAGCTGAAAAATAATAGGCGGGATCATAGATAACGTTGATTCTAACCTAAAAATCCAACCATGTTTTGAAGAAGATCAACCTGTGGAGGTTCTAGTACAACAACCTCCATATGTGAATAAAAGTTTGGTTTTACAGCATGAAAGATCTTGTCTGTTGCTAGGGAACCCAGGAAACAGTCTAGGGTGAGAAATGAACTCTCACAATAGTGCAGCCAAAAATAATAATAGATGGAATGAAAGATGGGATGGCTTTAAATCTTATGATAGCTGGATGGAATTCATGCATAAAGAAACTACTTTTGTGGCTCACAGTAGTCTTAAAGTGGCCACGAGGAAGGAACTGAAGTGGAGAACCACCTGATGAAGTAGTTGGGGAACCTTATGAATAATAATAATTAACAACCACTTCCACAGTTTGTTCATGTTGATGTTTTAATAGGTTGCACATTTCACAGGATGTATGAGTACTTACTGGGAAAACACAGTCATGCTGAAGTCTTCAGATATTCTCACAGGACCTGCTTCAATATAATTTTCCTTTGAAAAAGCAGTTATATTTTGTTACATTTATATGCCATTACTTGTTACAGTTATATATCACTAATTGTTACATTTATATGCCACTTTTCCACCAATGAGTGTTTCCCCAAGTAATGGTGCAAACATTTTAACCACAAGACTACAGTGCCCCTTTAAAATGCCTTTCCATACATTGCTCCCATTTAGCTCTAAAAATAAATTGCTGTTCACCAAATTACCTGGTTCCATTTTCAGCTGTTTAGCCCAAGTTGAATCACTGATAGAGGCAGGCCCGTTTTCTGCTATTGGTCCTTCCTTCCCATCAACAAAAGCTATATGAATGTACAACTTCATACTGTACATGGTCCCAGCAAAGGGGATTTTCAGACAACCGCTCCCCCATCCTGCAGCCCGAAAGGTTTCCATAGGATGAAAGAGATTGTAAAGGGTCCTTGTAATGGAGGGGGAGTGATCAGAAACTATTAAATTACCAAAAAGGGCTACACTTGATTATGTCAGCCATGGCCTTTGGGGGGAGGGGTGTCACAATGTTTAGCTTACAACAAGGTTTCGGCCACAGAGCAAATAGGAGGGAAGGCTGCACTGATTAATAGTAGGGCTGACCCAGAATTCAATTCACCCTTAAACAGCAACGAGTCACTTAATTAAGATTACAAATTAGAACAAGATAATTTGAAAGTCTCCTGTTCTCACCCTGTCGTGACATGCTCCACTAAGCCCCAGATGAAGATCTTCTTGTATTGCCAGTTACAGTATTTATAGTTATTGTATTTTACTACCAGGGTTGAGGAGAGGTGCCTTGGGCTTTTTCTGCTTAATGTCCAAAAATAATATACAGTAGATGGCTTTTGGTACTAGAAGGAGTAGAATTCTTTTTAGGAGGTCATGACAATCGTACAGTATTTGGTTGCTGGTTCTCACTTCTGTGCTCTTAATTTCTTCTCCATCTTCTACCTGGTGTATTCTGGGAGTTGCATTCTAGAATCACAAATCTGTATTTCTCTATCCTCCAGCGTTTTCACAAGGCTGGCAGCTGCACTATTCAAATCTCCTTCTGGAAAGTTGGAGTGATACTCTGCTTTTCTCAAAATCAAGTCACAGAGGCTGTGATGGAGTGGCTGATAATATTTGCCTTGAGCAATAAAAAACCATTTTAGGCTGGAAGGGTATGAACCTTTGCTAAAACCTTTTTCATTGTTAAAACATACAAACCCAAACCAGGATCGTAAATTGGTCTCAAAGGTTAAATGCTTCTCCTGGCAGATTCTCAGAAGAGATGTCCAGAAATATTTCCAAAGTAAATCCCCATTCTGGTCCGTGGTCCGGTGTAAACATCAACTCCACAGGAATAAACGTATGGATGTTATCATCAGTCAATCTTTACTATTCAGATCATAGATCGGCCAAATTTTAATGCACTAAGGATATTGATGGAGCAAAGATCTATACAGGCAGTAATAATTTACCGGGCTCTCTGAATATCCAGTTTTAGTGGTAAACTTAATTGAGGATAATATTAAAATATAACAGCTAGTCTTTAAGATACCACAACGTTTTTCTCTCCTTTTTGTCGTCTGATTTATTTGACAGAGCACATATATTTAATTGAGAATTAATCAGGTGCGTCGTGAAACATGCCGGCACGTCTAAATTTGCTACCTTTTCGGTGATTTCCTCGTTATCATCATTATCATCATCGCAACCGCGGGAAGAAATTAGGGGCTTTCGGTTACTCTGCTTGCGGCTTCAATGAGAGGGTAGAGAGGGGCGATTGGACTAAAAACCCCATAATTCCATAGGCAGAAGCGCTTCCTGAAGAATTTTGGGGATTGTAGTAAAAAAAAAAAACACGTTTCAAAGTCCTGGGATGCCAAGCTCTGTCCCTTTAAGGGTCATCCTGCTGGCTCCTCCCTCCAAAGCCGAAGAGTTTTCCCTGGTCAAAACAGAGGCAAACAGTGAAAACTTTCAGCTGTCATGGAA